CCGCTCCCGGGCCCGGCGGGGCCTCGCGTCCTCCGCATTCCCGGCACGCCCCCGCTCGGAGGAACCGGGAGAACACGGGAAACGAGAAGAAGGCAGGACACGTGTTTATTATTAACCACACTTTAATGTCGCGCCACTGAAACGCGTCAGACCGGTGCACCAGGGAGGATCACAAATCCCTGGATGCGCYAACGCCGCCGCCTCCCGCCCGAGTCCGCCTTAACCTCCAGCCCCCGCCCCGCCGGCCCGGCCCTCACCGGTAACACCGCCACGCCGCTCGAGGGCCCGGCCTCCCCCCCAAACACGGGGAAACCCCCCAAAACAGACGCGTGGTCCCCCCGCACCCCGCCGACAGGCGCCGCGCGCAGCCGTTACGCCGGCCCGCGTGAGCAGCGTGCGCCCGGCCGCCCCCCCGCCCGCCGCCTAGAGCGGCGCCGCTTCCGCCTCGCGCCGGGGCCGCCCGCGCCCCTCGGTGGCAGCAGGAGCGCCGCTGTGCACGCCGGGAACGCCCCGCCGCCGCCGCGCACTGTTGCCAGGGGGACGGAGCAGGAGAAATGCATGCCGGGAGAGCGCAGCCGCGGTGCGCGCCGGGAGGTGTAGTCTCCAGGAGGGTGATTTTCCGTCTGCGCAGGCGCGCAGCGGGTGGGGCTACGTGGCCATCCCGGCCAATGAGAGCGCTGAGTAGCTCTGCGTGTGCATGCACGTAACAGCTGTTGCTTCTGTTCTCGCTCTTTAGGCGCAGATCTCGCGAGACTCCGGCAGGGCGGCACCGGCGAGGCGGGTGCGCAACGCAACGCAACGCAACGCATCCGGGCGGCACCTACGAGCGGAGCGGGGTGAGCGGCGGCCGTTGGGCTCTCCGGCGTCGGGGCTGACGGTTGTCGGCGCGTAGGGAGGGAAGGCACCGTAGCCAACGGGCGAGCGTGTCGGGGGGCGCGGCCGCCGCGCTGGGCGGGCGGCGGTTGGTGGTAACGGCGCGCGGGGACGCAGGGCGCATGCGCAGTGACGCCCCGGCCTCCCGTCCSGCACGCTGCGGCTTGGGCGGCGGGCGGGCGGGCCCCTGCTTGTGAGGAGCGAGGGCTCCGGCCGCCTCGCGGGGCGCCGGGCGGGCCGGGGGGTTCGGGGCGAGGGGTCCCGATGCGCAGGGAGCAGCCGCGGCCGCGGGAGGGTGATGGTTCCTTTTGTTCCCGGCTTGCGCGGSGGATAAGGCACCTCTTAGCCTAGCTTAGCAGAGTTCCCTCCCACTCGTGAAGATCTGGCAGGCTCTGACTTGTGCTGGTGAACTTCCCGCATCCCTGCCTGGCATAAGGCAGATGGAAAAGCTGGAGGAGAGAGCCCACAGCTGATAGCTCTTGGGAAAGGCAGTGAGGACAAGGTGCTGCAGGTCAGAACCAGCCAAAGTCTGGCACATCTTGAGTGTGGCAGTAACYTGGTGTTGCTGATGTTGCATTAAATTCGGAATGCTGCCACGTTGTTGGTATTTTGCCCATCACCGCTTAAAGCGTGTTCTCAGGCCTATGTGCAAGGTGTTTACAAAGCCAGCGGCACTGCTACCTTGGCCGCTATAAAAYGCCACCAAGAGTGCTCTGGAACCCAGCGCTGTCACAGCCCACCCGCAGCCTCACCAGAGTTCCCGTGTTTCTGTTCTGGAACGGCTGCTTGTTCCAGGGATAGCTGCTTGCAGGGCAAGGTGGATGCGGTGCTGGGGAAAGAAACAGATGTGCCCCCCACAGCTCTTCTTGCTGCCCACCACTTTGTCCCTTTTGAAGGGTTTTATGAGGAGGAAAAAATCTTCACGGAAAATGATTTTTAGCTGTTTTTCCTCATACAGCAGTTAAGTAGTGGTTGTTTTAATAGTGGTGTTTTATTGAAAAACCTGTTCCTGACTGTTATGGATAGGACCCACAACAGCAGCTTTCTTGTACTAGCTGAAGCAGCATGTTGGCCTCAAGCAGTGGCTGTTGCACACCTTATCTCTCTGCGGTGGCTAAAGAAAGAAGAGTGTTAGTTCCGATTTAATGTATTAATTCTTATCGAATATTTAAAATAATTTGAATTTAAACTACTGCTGGAAATGTATGCACTGAGCAGTGTTTAAATTTATTCTGCTGCATCTTATCCAAGCGAGCTGGAGCTTTTTAATCACATCACTTGGCTTCAGAATATTAATTCTGAATTAACACATGGACTTGGCTCAGGTTGAGAGTCCCTGTGGAACTGACTTATTTCGTTTCTTTTCTCTGACAAGTCATTTGAGGTTCCTGTGCCCTTTCAGCAGCTGGTTATGCGACCAAGAGACAGGACATGACTGGAATCTTTATTGCTCTCTGTGTTTATTCCCCAAGGGGTGAGCAATACAGAAAATGAAAGGCCATCTTTAGAGAGAGGGGCATTTTGTTTATCTACAGTTTGAATTGCAAGTAAAGGAGGGCAGCCTTTTAATGTAAAGCATCCATTTAAATTGTAATTCCTTATGTTCCTTCATATTGTTCTTTATATCGTTTTTCCTCAGAGCTCTGAAGAGTAAAGATGGCTGCTGATACTTCTGTTGAAATACTTCAGAAAGTCCTGGAGAATGAAATACTTCAAACGACCAAGATAGTAGAGGAACGCCTAGATGCTGAAATGCAGAAACTGGACCAAATGGATGAGGACGAATTGGAGCTCCTCAAGCAGAGGAGACTGGAAGCATTAAAAAAGGCACAGCAGCAGAAACAAGTAATTCTTGTAGTAATACAGACTCCTAAAGTATACATTATAGCAGACTCTTTGAAAAGCTTCAGGAAATTGTCAGGAAGCAGACTCTTCCACGCCCCTCCCTGCCCCTCTTATCTTTTCTTGTATTCGCTCATTTTATATTCCAGGAAAATGAATGTCTATGTCTGTTACCTTTCTGAAAAGGAAGACAGGAACCTTTCTGATTATTTGACAATAATGACAGGATAAAGAGGCTAGTTCTAGGATTGGAGTATGCCGTTAGTCACTAAACATTGTTGTCTGAAAGCATAAGCCAGAGATTGAGCCCAGTGATGAGCTAAGCTTCCAGAYTTTGGCATTTTTTATCTTCAGGATTTCATGGTTTTCTCTAAGTACTTCGTAGAAGAATGATATAGAGTCTTTCCTTGTTCTTGGACTGAAATGGTATGTCCCATTTGTAACTTAATGAAATTTTGGCTACATGTATATATTCATTTCTTCCTGCAGGAGAGAAATCCTGTTGTGGTCCCTAGCTCACGTCTCATGCTAAATTGTAGCCTTTGTGCCCCCTCCAACTCTCCTTCCCCTGCCGAAACCCCAAGATCTGAATTTTTTTTTAAGGGATGCCATAGACTTGTTAACTTAATCTAGGCAAACCTAAACAAGGAAATAAATAATGTGGGTGGACCTATGTCAATACATGGCTGGAACGCTGAAGGAGAGGCAGTGTTAGTAGCTTCCATTTTCTAAGCATGCAGAAGAGAAAATAGAGGTACAGCTCATGCTTGTCTTCAGAATTTCAGTTTTAATTGGGTTCTRTTGTATTTTCCTTTTTTCAAAATCCTAACAGTTAGACCTTCTTTCATGTGAGCATGTGGTAGTTCTCAAATGCAAGAACTAGCTGATCTTAAGTCACTCTTTTCATCCTTTTTCAAATGCAAATCAGAAGTACATTACCACYTGATGAAAGGAATAAGCTACCAAASCTATYCTGTAASAAGACTGTGCAGATGAAATTAATATGTACCCACTGCTGAAAGATAAATCAGTTTTTTGTTTATATCATGATAATGTCTTCAGGTGATGATACGTCTAGACATCTTTAATGTGTACAGTGTTCAGAAAATTCTTTGTTCTGTTCTAGCTGGTTACAGCTTATGAGCTATTCGGGGTTTGCTTTTTTCCTCCTTTCTTTGCGTTTCTTGAAATCTTGAAAACTTAGATTTTTCTAAAGCATGTTTGCATACTTAATTAGGCAACGTAGGAAGTTCCTTGTGAATTTTAACTTGTGAAGTTCTGTTTACAGACATATTTTGTGACTAATGGTATCCATGTGTTCTGTATTTTTGAATGCTTTTCTGAAAACTTTCAGTGCACCTTTAACTGATAAGCATTGTATTTTGTAAATAGTTAGACCTTTTTTCTCCCTTAATTTTTAATGCAGTGAAAAATGAGACAAAATCTATTTCAGTACATGCAAACCAGCAAAATCCTTGCTAATTATTTGCTTCTATGTTTTGCCATCAGGAGTGGCTTTCAAAAGGACATGGAGAATACAGAGAAATTCCAAGTGAGAGAGACTTTTTCCAAGAAGTGAAAGAAAGTAAAAATGTGGTTTGCCATTTCTACAGAGATACAACTTTCAGGTATAGTAAATAACTTACGCTCAAGAAACATTTTATTTCTAGATATTTGTAAAAACAGATATGTTCCTTCAAATCTAGCACATATAATTCTCAAATATAAAAATATTTATATGTCTATGTTTGTGAGATTTATATCACAGGGTGTTTATACACCTTCACTTTTGCAGTATTTCCCTCTCCATGGCACTTGTGCTTTTCTTCTGTTCAGTTAGTCTAGATATGACTTGCTAATAATTAGCCTCTTTCAAAGTATATTAGCTAAATTTTTAAGCTTTTTTTTTTCCAAAATATGAGAATAATTAAGAGGCTGTGCTTTGTTACTGATTTTAATTTGGAGGAATGATTAGCGAAAAGCAGTGACTTAACAAAGAATCGACTTTCAGAAGATCACTTGAGTTAATCCAGCTTTAAAATATGCAGGGCACTTCTGGCAAATGAAAATCAAAATATGAGCAAAAACCCTGCATGCATCTTCCAAATGTAACCTTTTGACTTGGAAAGAATCTGGATACAAGTTGCAGCTGCCTTCCCTTGGTGCCTGCAGCACTGCCATTATAGCACTTGTCCAGGGTGTAAGAGAMCTAGATCTGAATATGCTCATCCTGACTCAGAACAAGAACCCAGAATAAGATCTCCCACTTCCTTGGAAAATTTTTAGAAGTTCTGTAACACAAGACTGTTTCTGGATGGCTTTTTCTCAATATCTTCTGTTAGAAAGSAGTTGATAAACAGAACTGTTTGTTGAAGGAGGAACCAGTTGTCCTTCTTTTTCTTTCCAAGGTGTCATGTTCTCTCTGGTTTATAGGGTGTAAAGTAAAACAGTTTTGTTGTGAGAAATTGAAAGAGGTCAAATCCAGATTATGTAATGATGCATCTGTCTGTGCCTTACAGTTTCTCTGTTGCAATTGTGAATTTCAGGAATATTTGAAGCAGTTAAGGTTTTTGGCTACCATTTTTACCCCGTGGTGTCCATACAAATGGACTAGTTTAGAACAAGCTTGTTTGTTGGTGTTGGGTTGTTTTTTTTACTGAGATTCTGTGCAATAGAAGGGAGAAAAAAAATTAGAGAAGGTGGCAGCCAGCTGGAAACTAGTGCTTTGAGTTTACCAACTACAGTAGTGAGTTATTTTCATCCTTGCCAGCTCAGCTTTTTGATCTTAGCTCTCCTCTTGAGTTAAAGATCAGCCGTGTGGCAGAATGCATGCAGCTAAAACAAACTCCTCAAGATGATCCAAAATGTAGAGATTCCAGGTGAGGAGTCTGCAGCTCTGCGCCATCTGGCAAGTATTTGGAGCAGTAAACTTTATGGTCCCTCAGTTGAGGAGAAGCAGTAATTGTGTGCTCACTGCTATTCTGTTGCAGTAGGAAAAGAGAAATGTTGCTTGTAGTACCACTGAAGCACTCTGGTTTTGAAGAGCTAGTTACTGCGTCTCCATTGAGGAGGTAGTAACTGGGGGAAAAAAAAAGGGCAGATATCTCTAAATTATTCACAGTGTTTTTTCAAAGATGAAGTTCACTATGCAGATTTTTTTCCAACTTCCAGGCAATGAAACCAGAGAGAAAACTGCAGGGAGAATRGAAGTCAGAGTTTGGGGGGGTTCTTGTGACGCTGCAATAAATGCAGGCCTCAAGAAACAGGCTTTCACGTGTCTGCAGGCATTATTAGGAGAAACAAGAATAGTCTAGTTATGTGATAATGGTGCTCCACATTCTTACCCTRCTGGTCATTTAACCTGGCTGCCATTGGAACATGGTTTCTCTTGGAACTAAGTTCTGTCAATCATGCTAATTCCTCAGACTTGGCCTTTGCAGTTAAGACGTAGCTCTTTTATTGTTCCTTTTAACTTTTTCCTAAAACATGCTCTTCAACTTATTCGCTCTTAACATTTTTATATCCTTTTTTTTTTTTCCCCACAGATGCCAAATTATGGATAGACACTTAACTGTATTGGCAAAAAAGCACATTGAGACAAAATTCTTGAAATTAAATGCTGAAAAATCTCCGTTCCTGTGCGAGAGACTGCGCATCAAAGTAATTCCCACCCTAGCACTAGTAAAAGATGGAAAAACACAAGACTACGTTGTTGGCTTTACCGACCTCGGCAACACCGATGACTTCACTACAGAGACCTTAGAATGGAGGTTAGGCTGTGCAGACATAATTAATTACAGGTAATTAAGCTGGTTTTGGATACAATTTAAGGAGAATGTGCTTGCAAATGGGGAATCTAACAGTTCATGGTTTTGAGTGATATGTTGTACACCTGAAACGCCATTGAATCTAATCCAGTTACGTCATCCGTGTACTCTGGCAAGGGAAAGAAAAGAATATYGCTGTGTTAAAGCATTGAGATATTGTAATGAGCACCTGGTAACACTGTCCTCTTTGGGATTTTTTGCAGGGTAGTAAATATAGGCCTTGCCATGAGGTATATAGAGTAACTGCTGCTTTTTGTGGCCAGTCCTAAGACATTTATCTCATATAAACTATGTGCCACGGTTACAGTGGTGATGAGGTTTGAGCGTTTTGGTTGAATTCGGTGAAAATTAGGGGGGAAAATGATATACTTCTATAGGTAACATAAAATATGATGCAGTTTAGGACTTTTTCAATGAAAAAATAGAGGAGTGCACATAATTTGTATAGCACTGCAGTATGTAATCACAGTAAATATCTTCATTCAAGACTACAGAATATAAGGCATTAGAAAATAAGTGCCATCTCGGTAGCCTAACTTTACAGCAGGATCACTTAGCAGACTCTATTTTACATAATGTGCTTAATCTGTTAATTTCGCTGTTTTGCTTTGAATGTCTTTGCTTTATCTTAAACTGCACTATCTGAATTAATTTKGTTGCCTGATTTTCAAACCTTAACAAGAAATATTCTTATCCCTTACAAAGGCAGCAAAACCTTTGTTCCCTTTAGCTTAGCAGCTGCTGACCTTCAAGTGAAATAACAACACAGAGCTTCACAGCTCAAAACAAAAGGTAGTATCCACACCTAATGCCGTAAGAAACGCACAGGAGCAAGGACAGCTTGGATATGGATTCTAGATGGCGACATTTCCCGGGGCTGCCGAGGAAGCCCCGCGCTGCTGGGGCAGGTTAGAGCTCGTCGCAAGAAGGACCGCGGGCCGCTCTGCGCTGCGCCCTGCCTCGAGCCCAGCGTGTGTGAGCAGCCTCCAGGGCAGGCCCTTCCCCTGGCCAGGGCAGGGAGCGGCTGAGCAGACTGCTGGCAGTGCCAGGCTCAGGTGCCACTGCTGCAAGGTCTCTCCCCTCTGTTGTGAATCATTAACGCTGCTTTTATACTTCTTTAGAGCTGGATTTTGATGAAAAAAACTTTGTACTTCCCTGGTTACTGTGGTTGTCTTTACTGTGGCTGCTTGGGGCAGCCTTTCCCRTCAGAGTTTCTGGGGTTCTGCTCCCGAGTGCTGTTTGTGCTTCTGGTGCTGTTTTAAGGGCTGTTATCCAGGCTGTTTTGCCCAGGCTGGGCTGCACTAGCCACCCACTGTGCCCCTTCAGAGCAATGTGTCCTTGGGTTTTACATCAGAGCAGGGGTTGTTTCCGCCTTGTAATGATATTCTGGAGAAACAGCTAATTGGAGATGCTGCTGTCTTTGTGCAAAAATGGTGTAAATCAACCTCTCTTCCTCTCTTTCTCCAGCGGAAACTTGATGGAGCCACCTTTTCAAAGCCAAAAGAAATTTGGAACCAGCTTTACAAAGTTGGATAAGAAGACCATCAGAGGGAAGAAATACGATTCAGATTCTGATGATGACTAGAAGAACAGTTAAATGCATTTGTAAACCATCTTTTGTTTATGCTTGGTACATTTTTAAGAATGTTTTTTATAAGGCGCATTGTTTTTCATTGCATCTGCACATAATGCTCATTTTTCTATACAGTTTTATACAACTGAGTCATAGCAGAAGAAAACTCAAATTTATTTTTTCTTTTCTCTTTTGAAAGTCATTTGTAAATCAGAAATCTCAGTACTTCAAAGTAAGGAACGTGTGGTAAATTAAATTCGTCTGTGAGTTTTGGAATCCCTGTTAGAAGCAGCTGTACCAAGTTAGACCAAAGGTCCCTCTGGCCCCGGCATCCGGTCTTGATGGCCAAAAGCAGATGCACAGGGAAGAGCAGAAACGGGGGAAGCGACTAATGGTTCTTTCCCAGAACATACTCTGAGCAGCGTGCGGATTGGGAAGGCTTATTTGAAAACACTTGCTAGGTAGAAATGGAGAGGAATTGCTTTTCAGTCCTCTTGGATGCCTTTAGCATCCAAATCATATGGCAGGGAGTCCACAGTTCAACCCATGCCTTGCCTGAAGAATTGCTTTGTTTTGTTAATCTAGAATCTGATAGCAGATAGAAAGAGGAAAAAAAAAAAAAGAAAAGAAAAAGAGCTATTTCTTAGACAAGACAGAAGACACAAGACTTCTTCCTATCAGCTTCTTTTCCAGCTATCTCTTTATTATTATTATACTGTCAGTGAAAGAGACTTAAGAAGCACCACAAATAATTAGTGCAGAAATTGCATTTTTAACGAGTGATGGCTTATCTTAGGGTGCCATACCATAACTGAGTAACTTAACTGCATTGCACTGCGTTGTAACACAGTCATGCTTTCTGTGACTTTTGAAATAGATGGTCAAGGGAAATGCCTTCCTACCATCTACCTGCGCTGCGTGTGAAAGCTGGGACAGCAGAACACTGAGAACAGTGTTGCTCAGAGGTCTGTGTAGTTCTGTGGCTTCGAATGYGTGGATTCTGTAGCAGGTGCTTCGTACAGGAGAGTAGAGACTAGAGAAAAGTATTTGAGCAAAGCCCTGTCCTGGCAGTTTTGGAAGCAAACTTTGTACTGCTCTCAGTAACGGAGAGGATTTTCAAGGGAGAGCTCCCTTAGGATGCAGCGTAAAGCTCGGTTCCTGTCATGGTAGGAGGTGATGATGAGTTTCTTCTTAGTTTTCATAACCAGTTTGCTGTGTGCTGAAGGGCCCTTCCAGGGCCGGGGCTAGGCAGTCCCCTGCCCCACAGCGAGGAGGAGCACCTGTGATTGGGCCAGCCCAGCAATATATTTCTATAAGTATGTTTAAAAAATATATTTTATTTCAGTTCGTGAACATTGAAATAAAATTATTTTAATTCTAATGTTGACTTTTTCATTCTTTCTAATAAAGTTTGTGTTATGATTTTTTTGTTAATCCATTTCTCTGTTAGAGAACTTCTTTTTTGGATTTCTGGCAAGCTTATTGACAGTTCTGTCCAACACTGACATCACTTTGGTTATAAAACAAACACTACCCAAACAGCTGCTTTAAATAATAAAATGAATTTGAAAAATGTGAGAGTCTAGCTTTGAATGCTGTGGGGCTAGTGTATGAACTGCACATGGGACATCAGAAATGAGTCAGGGCTGTGCTTGATGTTTATAGGAAATAATCACTGAGTGTGTGGAAGAAAATAACTAAAGGCAAGTCCCTGCTCTGCAGCTCTTGAGGGCTAGGTTATTTGGCCTTGACCATGCCCCACTTCACACCAAGCTGTGCTTGCAATGCTCTAGTTAAGGAAGCCACCTAACTTGGTGCTGAGTTGAGCTTTGGGAAGGAGTCTGGTCCCTGGAAAAGAKGGGATGAGAAGCAGCCTCTGGAGAAGAGACCAATCCAGGACCTGCTGGTGGCCGTAACACTTGAACATAGTAGGTTGAAGCACCTAAACTAGTGCTGGGAGCCATCAAAGGAGGGAGAGCAGAAGGAAGAATTGGTGCCTTCCAGTCCTCCTTGCCGAGCAATTCACACTGCGCTGGCTCCCTTTTAGAAGTTCTTAAAACGAGGACTTTTCTGCATCAACATAGAAGCAGTAACTGAAATACCCCCTGTACAGTGTGAAAAGAGTCTTGAAAGTACAAAAGGACTCATCTCTTCTTCCTGAACGTTGCTTGAATCAAGGTACTTCTTGGAGTTTGGTGAATTGGAAATTGGCAATTAGTAATTAAGTGTGGAGCAGGAGGAGGGAAAGAGTGATTTAATGCTTAATGTGGAATTGAAAATGTCAGTAAACAGGGTATTCTTATGTAGAAATTTCTGTAAAAATATACTTTGAACAGAACAGTTTCTAAAGTACGCTGTTTGTCTTCTTAGTAAGAGTAGAGTTTGTCTTCAGTCCATTGTGAGGAATGCTCTTGTTTTGTGTAATACTACGACAAAAATACCCAAACCAAAAAGAAAAAAAAAAAAAGTTGATATAACATGGCTTTGGGGCTCCTCGGGTRCTCGGTGCTTGTGTATTTTCCTTCTACACAAAGGCAGTTTGGTCAAACTTGTCTCACTGTTCAGCTGTATGTGCAGCCAGAGAGCCACGGGAGCATCCCAGAGCTTAAGGGACGTCTCTCTAGAAATTGGAGTAGTCTAATAGACTTCAACATCTAAAATACTTCAATAGTTTGAACTCTTCAGAAGGAAATGTTGCTCACATATCCCCTTTAAAGGATAAATTGGTCCACACACTTGAACAAATAATGCTCTGAAGGTCCACTCTGATCTTCTGTGCTATTAAGTCTGTCAAATATGACTGGTGATCCGAGGGGTCCTGGTCTCCTAGCTGCTCCCTGCCTTCTTCCTCCTGGAAAGCCCCATTCTGCGTCAAACCCTGCAGAAGGGAACATATAATTATTCACCAATTTCAGCTAACGCATCCAACTGGCAAAGGTAATACTGAAGAGAGCAAACCGTCACCCAGAAAGCATCACAGAATCCTTCAGGTTGGAAGGGACCTCTAGAGATCATCCAGTCCAAACCCTCTGCTCCAGCAGGGACACCCAGAGCACGGGGCACAGGGCGGCATCCAGGCGGGTTTGAAGACCTCCAGAGAAGGAGACTCCACAGCCTCCCTGGGCAGCCTGTGCCAGGGCTCTGGCACCCTCTGTCACCTTGTTCAAATTGAGAGGATTACTCCTAAGCGCACGCTCGCCGTGAGATACTTGGTGCTTGTTGCTGAAGCAGGGAGAGCCAATGCAACTTGCCTTCAGTAGCCCGTGAGGTGCATGTCATAAGGCTGCATTTCTGCATCGGTGGCAGGAATAAGTGACCATGGACCCAGGGRTCACGTAGATGTGCCTAGCACACCATTGAGTCTGCATTAATATATTTTGCTTTTATAAGCATAGCCTGTTGAGACATGTTCTCTGTGGTGATATGGTTCCCGTATGTGACTGCTTATATATGTTTTATGTATATTAAACTATCTGCTTCACAAACCCTATAATTTTCAATAAATATTGGCTTTTCCTAAGGTGACATCCTATAAAAGCAGGTGATTGTAAAACAAAAGAAAAAATCCTTCCTTGTTCTGCCTCCTCCTTGCTAATTGTTTCTCTTGTTAGTGTGCTGTCCTAGAAAAGAGTTGGAAACTGTTTCCTGCTTGGTTTCCAAAATGTCGACACTTCAGTGCTTTGTATAAGGAATTCCAAGTGCCCAGAAAAGCCCTTAATAGTTACGTGATGAGTGGGTACAGTTAATAATTAATTGTTTAAGAGATGTTAGTTCAACATCTCTGTGAGTCATAAATGTACTATCCTCGGTTTATATGTTGGAAACCAAAACATCATTAGCTCTACCAAAGGACCTAGGAACATGAAGAATTAGGTGCTCCAGTATCTAATTTCAGTAACCCGCCTCCTGAAATACAGAACTAGGGATTCGGCACATGAGCTCCCTATCTGGTGCATGGGGTCTCAGGATAGAATCCCGGACATCTGGATGAAGCCAGTGAGAGGTTCTGGATGAGGCCTGTGAGAGCTGCCAAAGTGAAATACTATGAAAAAATTTGCCCCAATGCAGCCTTTCTCTCCTCAGTTTGCAGCTTGTACAGCACAGAGAGGCTTGTGGGACTGGAAAAAAAAAAAAAGAGCAAGAGAAAACATGCCATTTTCCCCAAGATTTTGTCATGGGAACACTGAGTCCAGACACCAAACTGCTCTGGCCGTAGATCCACACAGGAGCAGACAACTAAGTGCTCCCAGCTGGATGCTTGGCCCAGGGCTTGGGGGAAGGACACTTGGTAGGTGCTGCTTGGAGCTCTCCTGGATTGAGCTCCAAATGCCTTGCCTAGAGTTATGTTAGGTGCAGAAAAGAAAATAATGCAAATGTATAAGCCATAAGGCTGGGAAAGGCAAATCTAGAGGGTTTGGGGATAAACAAGCCTGTGAGGGAAGCTACGGATGTGTCTTTAACTGGTCGGTCTGGGACAGGCCTCCAGCACACATCATGTGTCACGGGCAGCCTTCCCATATAGCACTTACTATATAAAATCTGTGACCTGTTGGTGTTACCTGTAATTACATCCTGGATAAAAGGGGCAATGTGAGAAATATATCCATGTGGTGACGTTTTGAAACCAGAGTTGAAACTCACAGAAGAGACAGTAATTAGCACGGGTATCGTCCCAGGTAATTTTCTGTAGCATTTTAACCACCCAGTGAAATGTGATCATGCATCTCCCACATTTAAGAACACGTGAGCAATACACAAGGCATTTCAAAATGATGCTCCATTTTGATCACATCCCAAGAAAAAGGAATGAGAAAAATGTAGACTACTTGGTGTGTGAATAGAAAAAAATGAAGATCTGTGAGTGGTGGTACTGTAAGCTCAGAGGAGCTCCTTTCTAGCTTGCATAGTCATTTATCTCATGGAAACAGATGTAAATTGCTATCTTTTTTCAATAGGGTAGCATTTTATGACCACTCAGGAATCACTTCAGCTCAGTATAAGAAACAATGTCTGTGGAAGACCACGGGGAAGCTGTGTGTGAGCTGCAGTCTTTTGACAGGATTCAACTATGAATCCTGGGAGGCTTCCCTGCTTCTTAAGCTTAAGAAGATATGGGTAACATCTGATCAACTCCTCCTCTCYCCTTGACCTTCCATCTCTTCCCTCCTGCTCATATAATGTGCTGACCAGAATCCTTCAGATGAAGAATTCAGCACTGGCATCTTTTATGTTTAAAAATGACACAACCGTCCTTTTTCTCCTCCAGTTAATATTCTGGGTTGCATCTTCCTTTTATAAGGATTAAAGCTAAGCGGTGCATGTGATAGCTTTGCTTTCTATCTGTTATTTTCTAAGATGCCATATTACTACCTTACAGTATGTGAAATGTTACCTTTTGCTATTTAACCAACTAAGCCCTAGCAAAAGACTTAAGATGGAGTCGCCATCTAGTCTRAGACACCATAATGAGATATCACGGTTGTACATGAAGAACAAATGCCTTGCCTTACTGTAGTCTGTGGGAAGAAGTCYATGAATTTCCATGTTTCACCCATATAAATTATTTGTACATTTAAGTCTCAGTTTATCCCACATCCTAATCCTCACTAAACAACAGGGCTAGGTTTTCCAGCCAAGCTTCATTCCTTCTTACTAGCTCATGATGTACATCCGTGATATTTGTGTTCACAGATTTATTGATTTTAAGAACAAGGCCTACTTCTTCATCTCCTGGACCTTAGAGACTAAAACCATCATCTGTTTTTAACCCAGAAATTAGCATCCTCTCAAAATAGTATGTCTCACCCAGCAGGTCTCAAGGTCTCCACAAGGAAACTTAAGGAAAAACTCATGCATCAGGTAATCTAGATCAGAAATCTACTCCAAGATAATCTTTCTTTCCTAGCCTCCACACTTACTATTGCAGAGTCTGGGAAAGAGAAGAATGTGCAGACAGGGACAGGCTTAGAGGGCATTGGCCTCCCAGATGGTGACTCAAACATTTCTAGTGACTTASATGTGTGAAAAGAGTCTGTGCAGCCCAGTGCAAGTCTCACTGACACCCTCTGTGCCCACACAGGCTTCATCTGCC